GCTCGCTGGGTGCGCGCACATTTCTCGAGGGCTTCGCACGCAAAGGCCACGGCCGGGCGGGGTGGCGCGGGCCTGGGCACGTGTGGGGCGCTGGGAAAGCTGGCGGCGGGCGCAGGGCGTGTCTGAGCCACACTCGGTGGCATGTGGGAAGAGGACAGTGGCGCAAATGCTTCAGGCGCCTTGTGAAGCGTCTGACTTCGCAGATGTGATCTGGCGTGTTCAGCAAGGGCTTGGGAAGCCTCTGGGGGGCCCCAGCATATTTCTCTGGGCGCCCTGTGCCGCTCAGAGTCTTAAGGTTTTAGTTTTTGCGTAACTGTATCAGCATTTTGTCAAGTATCTGTCATAGATCCGACACAACTTATATTTCAAATAAATGTTCCCCCCAGACGTGGTTCTCCGTGTCACAGTTCAGCCCCAAATGCGTGGGCGCCTGATGCCGTCAGGCCGGGGTGCGTGGGGAGCCGCATTCAGGGGCTGTGGCGCGGCCCCCCGCCCTCCCCCCCCATCTCTCACCTTGCAAACGTCCCCAACTTCTAGGCTCAGGAGCCTTGGAAAGGGACCGGCGACCTCACGTTGTCCCCTCGTCACTCAGAGGACCCCTCCAGCTGGGGCAGGCCAGCAGCTGCTCACACCTCTCCTGCTCAGGCGTGAGCCCCACCCCCCACCGCCCTCGGGGCCCCAGGGTCCCCGGCCCCCACACACCTCACACCCTTCCGTCCTCAGACCTCCAGCGTCCCTCACCCCGTGCAGCTGCACACCCTGAGTTCTGTCCCTTCTGTGGGCCCCAGGCGGACCCTCCTCTGTGTGGGGGAGCGGAGGGCTAGACTTGAGGTCACGGAGAAGACACAGGTGGTCAGGTCTGAGGGACACGGTTCTTCACAGCGGGAACGGACCCAGCATCACGGACAAGACTAGAGAATGAGACGTGGACCACACGGGCAGGTTTGCGTGAGGAGCAGAGCTGGGGACAGCCCCGAGCGCCTGCCCGGGAACGGGCTGGGTGAGTGGCCTGGGCCACACACGAGGCGTCGTGTAATCTCCCGCAGCCCCGGGAGGAGACGCAGGCCCCGTCTCCCATTCAAGCTGAGTCGGGGATGGGACCTGACCTGGGGCCCCAGCCAGGCTG